TCCAAAGCCTATACTGTTTTCACAATACTTTGCCAAGTTAACTTTGATCTGTTAAAGGTTCTACTTAGCAATCTAATGTAATCCGGTTTCACCTTTCACTCGTGCACAAACTTCATCTCTTACAAGCAAAAAACACAACCTAACAATGAAGAAAGTACTAGAACACTCAGTGCAGAGACAAAAAGCCCACTACATAATTCAATTGCCCTTAAGGCAACAGCTGTTATATAATATAGAGACATTAAAATGGGCCTGATAAAAATCAGTCCAAGATTTTATAAATACAGAATCCCAGGCCCTGCCCAAAGTCTTTGGAATGTGAATCCCCTGGGAGGGAAACAGAATCTGTATTTCACACCAAATGACTTTCTCATCAGATGAGTTTATGAAATACTGACATTGTAGGTGCTCTGCAAATTAAAGATTACTCCACAAATAGTGTGAAGAATTGACCTGACACACAAGGTGGAGATTCTCCATAAATATTACTGCCTCCACAAGGAAGAAGGCCTTGACTACCGTTTCATTAGCATTATGCGGTGACCAACTGGGCTTGCCAGCTCAAACAACTGCACAGGAAGGGGTAAAGAAAGAATCTAAAATTGACAGGCACTCAAAGGGCTAAAAGTGGAAAGGGCCACCAACTCTGGCTTTAGCAGTCTCCCACCCGGGCAACTTCCTTCGAGGTATCTCTTAACAAAATATTAAGGGGGAAAAAAAAAAAAAAAACGGCTAAGGGAAGGGGGCAGCAGTTTCAAGTCAATAAGGAAATACAGGTTTTTCTACCATCCTAGAAAAGCTAGCAGAGTTTACCTGCTAAATGCAAGTGGCCTTCACATTTGTCACAATGCATGCAAGATTTTTGTCTAGGCAGCTCAACAGCTGATTAATGAAAATCTGTTGCTATATTCTGTGGCTCAATGGTACATGAAATTATCAAAACCAAAGCTGCTTCATTGAGTTATTATTTAAAACACACTGCCAGTAAATGCGGTAACTGAGGGAAAAGGGGGGAGACACCTGCTAGGCTCCTTTACTTCTTTGCTTTTGATGACTGTAATTCCAGGGAGCAGTCAAAGGACACATCTGACCTACGGGCGGGGGTGTGTGTGTGTGTGTGTGTGGTATCTAACCAGTTCCTCAGTGTATTGGATTAACTACTAAAAACAATGCTTACCTTCCCTCCAGAATTAACACCATTATTATTTATTTGGTCAAAATATAACAATCTGATGATAAATGGTCTCACAGAAGCAACGACTGGGTTTCTACAGCGTAGTATCTGCTAGTATACTCACAAAAGTATTAAGAGTTAGGAGTCCAGGATGATCTAGTCACTTTCCTTCACTGTGATGATAAAAAAAAAATCCAAGTCCAGAAAGGTCAAATGAATTTTCCCCAAATCACACAACAACATGTCAGCATAAAATCAGAGCTAATGCCACTGGGCTCCTCAATCTGGTGATAGGTCCTAGAGAAAATGTGTCCTTCCTCTCTGTGAGATTTTGGTCCCACAATGTCCGATGGTGGTCTGAGATTTTAGACATAATCCCACTCAATCAGTCATTTTGCAATGGAAAAAAAAAATGAAACTCATAGAAAACTAATGTTTCTACAAACATGTGACTGGATTGTGGCATCAGCCAGCCAGAATCTAAAGAATTTCTATGTCCAAGTGACCCATTCTCTTCTCTATATCCCACTGCCCCCCACTATTAAGTAGTATAATAGTAATACGTGATAATTCTATATATACCATGTATGAAACCAGTTTTTTGGGGGGTTTTGGTCTTTTTGAGACAGGGTCTCCCCATAGCCCCAGCTGTCCTGGAACTCACTAGGTAGACCAGGCTGGCCTCGAACTCACAAAGATCCCCCTGCCTCTGCCTCTCCAGTGCTGGGATCAAAGTATGAGTCACCAAGCCCGGTTGATTTACATTTTTTAAGAGAGACTACTAGAACTTAGACAATGGGGAAATCTTTTCTTTGGTTCTCTTGGAAGCAGAACAAGTGGGAAGGGTGATAGGGGCACTTCACTGAAAGAAAAAACGAATTTTAGAAAATTTACCATGCAAAGATTTGTAATTACATTTAAAAGTAGTAAGAGGGCAAAGTGGCTGTTGAATGGTAGGTAAATTCCCAGTGGAGTTTCTCTGACACAGAATTCTTCTGGCCTTCAAACAAGACTGGACTTTTTCAGCCAGAATTTAACATTCCGTAAAGGTACGTGAAGCAAGTTAAACTGCTTGCATATTTCCACTTACATAACACATAGCAAACCAGCTTTAGTTTTTCCAGATACTAGGAGATGAAGCTTGGTATATATTCCGGTATATATTCCTATGGGAGAATAAACAGAAAACTGTCTCTCTTCTTAATATATTAGTACCCTGTAATGCAGACCATATGATCAATAAATGTAGAAAAATTAAATCATACTGACAGTCTTAGGCAAAAAATGAACGAAGCAGAAACAATTTTTTTAGGACTGCAGTGTGTAGAATATTAAAATCACATGTTGTGTTATTAATTCTTCTTTTGGAAACCAAATGGAGTTATGTTGCATAACTACCTCAAGACACATGTTAATCTTACAAATAGTTTTTCCAATTAGTGGTGTTCGGAGGCACTCAATTACTAATACTGTAATGTGGCTTGTGCTTACGCTTAAGGTTGACGCCAAGCAATAACTAGCTTAGAAAATGACTCTGATGCATTTTAATGACAAGGCACATGACACTTATAAAAGGTAGCCAACAGCCTTTTATAATAGAAGACACTGCTATCTGATTGCATTTTTTGTTGTTATGTTGAGGATTCTATTTGCATTTTTGTTTGTTTTGTTTTTTAGACAGGGTCTCCCTGTAGCCTCAGCTGGTCTGAGACCAGGCTGGCCTGAGCTCTCACAGAGATGGGTTTGCCTCTGTCTGGAGGTGTGTGCCACTTTGCCAGGCCCTCTGAATGCATCTTTGAGGTAAACAATGTGTTCAACTGTAAGACCAAGAATGAACAAACACAATGAACTGATTTAGAAGTTTAGCTTTGGAAGGATGCTTGCTGCCAATAAAGAAGCGAAATGTGCACACTCACCTCACACCCCTTACTTCCACCCAAACATCCTGGGGTGTCTGTGTCTCTGGCTACACTGTAGTTGACAGGTATCAGTCCATACAACCTTCTTCCACACTGCTTTTTCTTTAATGAGAATGTAGCATCTTTGAGACCACCTTCTGACATCAGAATACTGAGTGGAAGGTGCAAGCTATGAAACTGCAAAGGCTGTTGGAATGTTCCAGCTCTGCTTTCCTAATCACAAAGCAGGAGGCAGGGGGCTTGTCTGCACAGGCCACAGAGAAAATGCTGACCCTACCCACCAGGACATACTCAAATACTGAGAAACCTCAGTCAACTTTGCAGCAAACAGCTTCAACTTGCTTAGTGTTGCCCTGGACTGCCCCAGGCCTGGGGAGGGTCTTTGAATAATTCCAACAGGTTGGTTTTAAGACCTTAAGTACTAATCTATTTCACTGTGCTTGATAAACCGGCTGCCACCTGGAAGGTAGCCCCCACCCCCCACCGGTGACAATTCTTTTTCATAGCATCACAGTGTTGAATCACTATTAAGAGAGCATCCAACCTACCTTTGTTTCTGTTTTACCTGAAGGTCATTCTTAATTTTTAAAATCTAAAAAGAGTGATCGGCATCTAAAAAGAGTCAATGCCATCTCCATAGGCATCAGGGACAAGCGGGCACTGCCTAAGGAGTCCTCAAAACGGGAAGCTAACTGGCCTTAAGCAGCCTCAGGTCTGCAAAACCCTTCCAAACAGTCTCCGTGCTGGAGTTCTATTTTAGGGGAACTGGACTGGGAACACAGATGTTTCTTCAGTTAGCAGAGCTGGCAGAACAGCTCCTGGACCAAATCCGAGTTCTTAATTCAGGAAGGGGGCCTTACAGAGAGCATCTACTTGAACCCACTCATTCAGCAGAGGGGGAAACTGAGGCCAAAGGGGGCAGTTAGGTGGTACATTCGGCAAGTGGCCGAGCTGCAATGTTTTAGTTCTTGTGATAAGCTTTGCGCGCTTTCTATTACACTGAAGTCGCTTAAAAAAAAAAAAAAAAAAAAAAAAAAAGTCCTATCCGACTTCCCTCAACTCCTCACTACGGTGGAAGCGCGTCAATAGCGTCTTCCTCCCCCAGCCCAATTCAATAAATGTCCTCGCCCTCCCACTCCAATTCCTTTGACTCCCACCACCCTTCCAGTCAAAGCTTGCAAGCGCTCAGCAAAAACAAACGTACGCAAGCTCCTCAACTTTTCGGGAGTGCAATTTAACTGTGGTCCTGAAGCAAGATCATCAGTGGCTTCTTGGGTGAAAAGGGTTCTAGCCCTTTAATGTACGAATCAAGGAGTGAGCGGGCTTAGAACAGATGCCCGCGCAGCCGTCTCCCGCCCGGCACACAGTAGGCGCTCAACAAGCGATGCTCGCTTCGGTGCGCAGTGCCGGCTGGGGAGAGCCCCGTCCCACCCCGGGGGCATTCGACCGAGCAGCAAGTGAAAAGGCCAGCTTGCGCGACTGGCCCGGCGAGGCAGCGCGGCGGAAGGGGTGGATGTTTACATGCCGGGACCGGGCTGCGCAGCTCCAGTAGGCGCCGACTCCCTGGAGACCCACGGACAGGGATGCAGGGCGACACGCTGCCTCCAGATCAAGGATCAACTAACTCCGCAGTGCTACACAGGTCGAGCCCACACCTTCCGAGGGCTTGCGCCCGGTTCCCAGCGGGAGATCACCCCTAAGGAGCCGGTCCCGGCTGCCGGGGACGCACAAGCACGCCGATCACAAATCCGCAGGCCCCGGAGTTGGGGGATCCGGGAGGGCGGGGAGTCCGGGGCCACGCAGCGCGGGGATGACTGCGGCCCGGGGACGCGCGGGGATGACTGCGGCCCGGGGACGCGCGGGGATGACTGCGGGCCCGGGGGCGGACAGCGCGGCGCGGGACTCACCCATGAACAGGCAGAAGAGGTCGAGGCAGACGAGCAGCACGCGCTTGCCGCCGCCCTTCTTCGGGTTGTTGTTGAGCGCCGGGCTGCCGCCGTTCTTGCTCTCGGGGACGATCGCCTTGTCGTACTTGTAGTTTTGCATGGCGCTGGCTGCGGGCTAGCCTCCGGCCCCGCGACGACAAGCCACACACTCAGACGTCCCCGGGCGCTGAGGGCTGGAACGCGGCGGCAACCGTGCAGCCCGGCCGCCGGCTTCCCAGCTGCAGACGGGTAGCCTCCCCTCTGGTGCGTCTGCTTTCCTCTCAACCCCAAACTGTTCGCAAGTCCGCGGGGAAGAGAGCCAGATTCCCGGCAGGAACTTTTGCAAAGTTGTGCTGCCTGGGGCGCGCGGGGCTGGCGTGCGTGTGCGCGCTGGAGTCTGCGAGTGGGCACTCGGGTGTCTGGTCGCCGTCCTCCGCAGCTGGCTGCTTAATGAATGAGCCCCGCGGAGCCCTGCAGCTCCGTTGCGCCCCGCAGCCCTCGGCAGCGCCGGCCCAGCTCCAGCTCAGCCTCCTCCTCCGGCCCCTCCTCCCGGTGCTGCTGCTGCCGCCCGGGCTGCCGCTGCGATCGCTCGGTTTGTTTTCTGCACTTTTATTTCACGAGCTCCTTTAAAAAGCGAGGGGGGAGGAGAAGGACCTCCTTTCTTGGCTCTGACTGGATTCTGAAAGCACAGCCCCTTCCTTAAGCTGCCTAAAACGTAGGATAATTAAGGCCACATTTCCCCCACCCCCTTTAAAAAAAAAAAAAAAAAAAAAACAAACAGAAAAAGCAAATCTCAACCACGAGAATCAGGGACAC